AATCTTCCGTCTCAATCTTTATTTGTTCAGCAAATTCAGACCATTGCTGAATCATTCGTCAGTAAAACACACAGTGACTTTGTACGTATATGGAGTTGAACTGAAATTGCTGAGATAGTTAGTCCGTATCTATCTGGGACGAATATGAATTTTCGCATTTCAGTCATAGATAACAATCGAGTGATGTTTTATGATACTGAGTATCATTGCAACATGCAAATAAGTACTAATACCCTAATTAGTACCGGATTATGCTCATGCGCAGTAGACACTGATATTTGCTTTGTGAAGCCTATCATTTATACAAATGGAACAAACTTTATCAACTTCGTTCAAATTTTTGACGAGCTTCAAATTAGTTGTATATCTTTGCTTGGATTCCTCAACTCCAAAATAAACTGGTGGCATAACATGAGTTATGTACAAAATGTTTTCGAAACATATACTTTAGTTATTAATTCTTCATCTCCACCTTATATCAAACCACTCAAACGATCAGCGTCTCTAGAGTTTACAAGTGGAGATACGAAAAATTTAATTTTGAAACTATTCGTAAAAAGAGAAATCACGAATGAAACACACTTCGATCTTTTCTATGATCAATGTGCTCCCAATACCTGTTCCTATCGAATTACGAGACAACGCGATACTATCGTCGCTATACTATTACTTATGAGTATATGTGGTGGACTCAATCGAGGTCTTCAAATTCTTTTATCATTGATTTGTGCGATTGCTTTCTTTTGTATTGACAAATGGAAAACACGGAAAGTCGTTCGTGGTAAGTGAACCTTGTAGAATAGATGCGCTTTTATTTCTTTGAAAATTTTCCCAAAAAACTTTATGAGTAAAGTAATACTCGAGTACATGATGTTTTCATTACATAAATATCAGCTACCATTTAAGATTTAGTAATAAACTCACCTTGAACCAACGGAAAACATTTCAGGAATCATTTAGTGTACAAATTAAAAAGTTAGTGTAGCCCAGATATGCCGCAGTTATAGTCCCGACTGATCCACGCGGTACCCAGCCATATTGAATATTCAGTAAACTGATCTAGAATTGATTGTGTTATCAGTATTTTTGTTCGAATACACTAAAATTCTCTGAAAGTAATGATACTAATATACTAATAAATATTATAATATCGAACTCATTCATTAGTCATGTATTTCCCCAACTGTGAGGAGAGTTATATAATATATGATGCGTTTGTACTTATCCATGTTTGTTTGTGCGTGTGAAGTTACATGTACACATACATTTTTGAAGACTTATGAAATTTAATTTTTAGTAAAAGCAACTCTCATTTTTCCTAATAACATTTGTTTTTGTTGGCAAAACGTTTTCAAAGAAAAAGTCACTTTTTCACTATAGGAAATGATCATCAAAAATAAAAAAAAGTTTGTACTAAAAACATTTTTTCAAGAAAGAAGGGACTTTTTATACTGTAGAATTACCTGTCAATAGAACACGTGGCAATTATTTAGTAACTAGGATTATTGAATCAATGAAGGAAATTAATCTATTTCAAACGAGTTCCATTCACGGAGCCAACGTACAAAAGCAAAAACTGTACACGGGAGTGTATCTAGTTCTTCTAATAAGCTCTCTTGGAGTATTAGTCTTTTATTCGTCTATTATTAATCGTGTCATCTCCAAAATCCAGTTACAGTCATCTGTTATCGATTATGAACATCTCAGTCATCTCGGTCTTGACAGTTTTGATTGTCCGTATACAACCATATCGATACCGTATAGTACATTTATTCCTGAGGTTAAGGTCAAATATCATCATGCATGCACTAGCGTCATTGTTGCGGCAGTTTTGACTGCTTGTATTCAGGTGAGAGAGCAGCTATATTTCGTTAATCGAAATGCTCTTATATCGTGGAGAAGACTCTTTGTTGATAGCCTGAAGGAAATTTGTGCAATAGCACAGAAAACTGGTCATGAAAGTATTCGTGTATTTTTGGATTCAAGTATGCTCACGTATCAAACAGTAACTCGAGCTGAGTTTTATAACGAAATGAATACGACTTTGTAACGTTTACTAACAGCAACACCTATTCCATTTGCTCAAATACTGGATCTTATTCGTGTAACTGCACAGCGTAATGCTTTGATGGATGTATTTTCATTGAATTGAGAGTTTATTATTGTAGGAAACAACACAAACAAAAATGTTTCTTCTCTAATTATACCCGTCATTCGCAATACAAACGATCATAATAAAGCTTATTCTTGTGCCACTTCAAGAGCTTGCTCAGTGCCCGCTAGATACTTTGGTTCTGAATCTCCAAACGATTACACAATCGAAGGTTTGGTTCTTGGTTGCTCTATACTCGAGACAATCCTGCGTTCTTCTTTGTTCTGTTTCTATTCATCAAGGTGCATTAAAGAATTTCGATTTGTAATGACACCATTGCAAGGCGGATGGCCCATGCTGCAGTGGACCGACTTTTAGCTCTTATGTTTTGATGAATGTCACCGTGTCATGGTTTGACGTGAATGACACCGTCGAGAAAATGGCTTATAACATGCTTGTTGAATCGTGGACGAGTAATGTATCTTATGAAATGTATTTCAATGCGTGCAGTCCAAAACATTGCACATACACATATCATTATCGATTCAATGCTCTAGACCTTTTGACCACATTCTTGAGTGTTTTTGCCGGTCTCTGCAATGCACTAAGATTTGCAGTGTCACATCTGGTTGGGATAATTGAGAAGATTAATAGTCGTTGTCGTGTCGCACCATTTTTATAATTATTGTATCACAGCGTACTATTCCAAACGATCATGAAGAAACATTCAAAGCAATGTGACCTACACTCATAAATAGCCTTAGTCACATACGTATCCACAGCGGAACCGATCTTCAGAATCACATTCTGACTCATACCAAAATCAAAAACATACAAACCCAAACCTAAAATCAAAGTATAAATTGACACTTATATCACGACCGCCATCTCTAATAATGGTTGCCTGTTGATGAAATTATATCATAGACATTAACCAGTATCGATGCTATTATCGTCTTTCGTCATTTGCTTTTTATGTTGTAATAAATATGAAAAAAACAATTTAAATTGTTTTCAGTCTATAAATATATAAAAGATAGAAAGGACCATATGTCATTTAGTTTATACAATACTGAATTTTTGCTTCTTTGAACTTTCAATGGTTACATATCATTCAAAGAGGGTGTCTGTGTGGTTCTGAGTCTGTGAGTAGGTCTTCTCTTCAACGGTGGCCACACCCCACACCACTATTAATTATTATATTTATATACTCTTTTATGCATAGACTGCGTAACAAAGAAAGATTCCGATATTTATCATGTTTATCGGAAAAATTTTATCGAATACTCACAATAATTTTTTTTCTACTCTAGTATATAACCGCTCAGTTTTTATTTACTATTCAATAAATTTCATTTCATGGCAAAATTGCAACTGAAGATGGATCAAAAAGATTTAAATGAATGTTTACAATTCATACAGACAGAGACAAATCGCTAAACCCATTGAAAAATTCAATAAGAATATGTATGAATGATCAAGAGAAAACTAAACTTGTAATTGACGAATTGAAATTGATCCAAATCGTGATGGACTTTCTAAGTTGTGTTGTTTTACACAGCTTTGTCTAGCGTTTTTTCAAATTTGATCAAGTAGATTATATGAATTCATCGATTGAACTCTCATCTATTTCTATTCCTATTAATGTTCGCGAACGCTCGATTTAGCATGTATTTATTTATTCATTTATTTCTCTTGTGAATTAGTCTCTACATGATCAAATATGCACAATTTGTGTTTGAGTGCAAGCAGATAATTTCAAAAGTCAGATGCAACTAAGTTTTTTTTATTTGTATTTTTTTTTTCATACTGAACACAAACAGAGCAATAAATATTAGCTGTGATTATATCATCTTCTTGTTTGTATGAATTCGCTATGCACCGTTTATTTTCATTGTTGAAAGAGATTTCTTTCAATTACGCATGACTTTCGAATGGGCTTGTCTTTTTCTTAATTAAATCATGTTTCATCATCACAGAATATTTTGGTACAACAACAGGTTTTTGCTATAGTTAATTGTTCAGTTTTAACTACACTAGAGAAGAAGAAAATAGCAAAATATCAGTCGTTCTGCAGTACTAACGATAAATTTTGTATCTTTGCTCAGAAATTGATTTTCATAGTCATCTATAATACAAGAGACACATTGAACGTGACTGTGCATGATTTGATTTTATATCGTACCCATGGTATCGTTTTATGCCGAATACATTCAAACAGTAATTGGTCTAAGTTTTTCTGAATGTATCATTTTGCTCGATTTTATCTCAAAATTGTTTTGTACAGTGTGAATCATAGCTGCGATAAAAAACGTTATGACTAGATTGTCGACATACTATTGACGTAGTGTATTGTAGAATTGGGTCCGAATCAAATATGAAAAGAACCGTCGACTTCGATACATATTTACAACAATGACGCTCATATGTGATGAGAAGAAAAAATGACATTTAGGAATTCAAGTCCCCTGCTGAATATGCACATCACACAATATCTGATCATTACTCTTGATCTTTGATCACATCGCGTGTACTTCCGTTAATATTTGTACAAATAAACACGTAAATGTCAAGAGACTATGTTCAACGTGTCTACTAGCATTTTTTCGTCATTTTCTCTCGCAGTAGAACACTAACGAAGTTAGACAACAAGTTCAAATTAGTGTTGTATTTATTGACCTTAACCATTTTGCCCTATTTCTGGATCACTGAAGAACAGTTTTTTTTTGTCCAAGAACAGAATGATCAAACTATTCTATAATAGACGATCAGCTACCATCGACATCGTTATGCGTGTTCATAGAAATATCAATCATCAACGAATTTATTACAATCAAGATTTTTTTACATGTCTTTCTCGACTTTCTCGATAAATAACGTACTCTATATAGAACACTGAACAAGATTAATGGCTTCCATTGAACAAAGTATGAAGCGTTCCTTTTCTGACAGTCAAAAAATTCTTAAACATGCAGAAACACATAATTCGATACCATTAAAATCATTAACTATAACTATTGATCCCGGTGAACAATCACCGATTCTTTCTGATCGATCATCAACAAACAATATAATCAATGATGAATATAAATCTGATTCAAAATTGCCTATGAAACGAAGATTTGCTAGAACATTATCGATAGCTTGTGTAAGTTATCGATTGACAAAGAGAAAAAAATTACATCAAAGATGGTGAGAAATCTTTTTTTTCTCTTTGTACTTTTAATTTTCATGAGTTTTTCGTCTATACAGTTGTCAAATAAATGATATCATGTGTGTTGTTGGCTTATTCGGTATTATTTTAATGATTGTCGAAAATGAAATAACTTTTATGCATATCGATCATCATGATAATCTTGCAAGTTGGATTGTCAAATTGATAATAACAATATCGACCATAATTCTAATTATTCTTGTTGTCTATTATCATTATTTAGATATAAGTCTTTATTGTGTTAATAATTCTATTGAATACTGGTTTGTTGGATTGACACGAAGAAAATTAGGTCTAATGATTTTAGAAATATTACTTTGTTCTATTCATCCGATTCCTCGATATTTTCCTATTGATGTATATTCTGAAAATGAAAAAACGAATTCAAATTTAACAATGACTAATCGTTCTACACTGATTTCAATCTCTTTAAAATATATTCCTGTTGATGTTGCACTTGGTTTACCGAGTAAGTTTTGTTTTAGATGTTTGTCAATGATTTTCGAATTTCTACATTTGAATATAGTGTTTGGTCGTTTGTATATGTGGTGTCGTTTTATTACATTTCATTCCCATTTGGTTCAAGATACATCATCACAAGCACTTGGCTATCTCAACAGAGTATCAATTGATTTTTTCTTTGTTATTAAAACTTATTTTCAACAATCTCCAACACTTTGTTTGGTAATATTTTGTACAATTGTCATTTCTATTGGTAGTTGGTCATTGCGTGCATGTGATTTTACATCGGTCAATGAACATATATCGATACTCGATGCCGTATGGCTCTTTATTGGACCATTTACTACAGTGGGTATGTTTCGAATCGGAATAGTTCAACAAGAAAAAAAAAAGTAAAATTCTATTACGTTTTTCAGGTTATGGAGATTTGACACCGGCGACCTATTGTGGACGAGGTAAATCAAAACTTATCGATAGAAAAGCACGACAAAACTGATCAAATTTTCTCTCGAGTCGAATTTAGGATGAATTTCACGCATGATTCGAAATTCGATAGAGAAAATTGAAAACATTTTCAAAAGTATTGAGAATTTTGCTTCATGTAAATTTTTGTATTTTCTATATCATATTACTCTGAAATCGATCCGAATGAAAAATCGATAGTTCTCTAATGTTAAATTATTTAATTCGAAATATTATCATCATTAGGTGTAGCTGCCATAGCAAGTACGATTGGTATTTTGGTTGCTGCTCTACTTACAGCTGTCGTGGCAGAAAAACTTGCCCTATCTCGATGGGAAAAATATGTTCACGATTTTGTTTTAAATAGTGAACTAGCCAAACAACGTACGCATCAAGCAGCCAATGTTCTTATATATGCATGGAAGATGTGGTATTTAAAAAAAATGAATAAGAAACGATCAACTCGATACATAACAGTACAACGAAAATTGTTCGAATTCATCTATAATATTAAAAAAACTAAAGAAAAACAACGAAAATTAACCGATAACTGTGTAGGTCTAGCTGAAATAATGATGATTCATCGTGAGACAAGTATAACAATTGATGAAACCGTTAAACAAATGTCTACAATGAAATTGAAAATGGAAAATGTCGAGAAAAAACTTGATAATGTCAATCATACAGTACGAAAAATGTATAAAACATTAAATCAATTGTTAGATAAACGTGCACCATGATGAATAATAGAGAATTTTTTTGAATAAAAAATGGACAGATCATGTTTATTGTTTATAGTCTCCCGAGTTCGATTACGACTGTCAAATATAAATATGGAATGAATGATTAGCTAATTTAAGAACAAGAATTTTCTCATTACTCTCATGCCTATCTTACTCGTCCTCACTCATTCCAATGTGTCGTAAATCTGCTTCAGACGAAACTGTAACGGTGTTTATTATTTATAATATCAAACGTCCGTTTAAACTTTCACTAACCGTTACAACTTAACAGAGACCGATTTCATAAGATTGCCGTTATTATCTATTGGTCTTTATAAATCGTGATCATTATTATTCTTGACTTTATTTACCATTTTAACATCATGACGAGATATTATACGTAATAGGAGACTATTGGATCTAGGGGTGGCACTTTATCTTTATTTGACTTTGAAAAAGTAAAGTAAAGTAAAGTGAAATATTTCTAGGTCATCGATAAGATAATAAAAAATAAAATAACATAAAATAAAGCATATAGTCATTTATTATTGATTGTTTAATTTATCGTCATGCATTAATGGTATTTCAAACTGTCAAAATCAAAGTTTATTAAAAATGAGTTCCCTATTAAGTGACTGGAAAATAAATCAAATTACCATTGAAAAACCAGTGTTTTTCATGTATTATTATTTTACAGCGTCTCAGCTTTCTTTAATATTGTTGACATATTTGTCTAAGAAGTATGTAACGTGATATATATAAACAGGAACGTTGCAAAGGTACTTGAGAAGCTATGAAATGCAAGAGAAATTTTTAGGTTCATGCGAAAACATAAGAAGAAAATTGACCAGAGAAAACCATGAGTAAATATTCATTAGTCATGTTTACGTTCTTATTTTACTCTGAATTTGTTTCGTCTATTATCTATTATTTACAAACCAAAAGATAATAAAGTTCAGAAGGTCGGATCTCTTACTAAATAAACGTAATTCTTGCTATAAGCCTGCTCAAAATGTAATGCAATCTGTTTTATAATGTCTTTTTAAAAATCTCTCATAATTTATCTATCAACAATTTTATTCATCCATGATGTTATATAGTTTTCTCATCTGAAAACATCGACACTCTATATGAAACTTTTCGCTAATTCTACAAAAAGAAAAAGTAGTGCCCTCGTGTTTTCTATTTTCAAAGTCATTTCGACTCCGAAATCATGTCTCTTTCAAACAGTGACGTTCTATTTTAACTTTACTTACATAGAATTAAATTAACCCTTTGTCTTCAACTAATAAAAGAAACAATACTACCGCTACAAACATAAAAGTCGTCTGTTTGACTTGTTTATATAACTATGTCATTATATTTGCAAACGAAAGTTTCTTTTAAAAATAATGCATTTTATCTATATGAAAATAATTACTGCATATATAAATCATAGGAAAATCATCTGGTGGAAAGCGCGCTTTTTTCTAATATCAACTATGAGAAAAAGCGAACTTGAAGTTATAAAAACGCATGTGTACCTTGCAACAGAAGTACAACAAAAGACTGCTTGTCTAGCGTCTACAGGTCAAAAGAACACAATAAGAACAAATCGTTGAATCTCTTTCATCTCGAATTTTATTTGCGTTCAAGTGTACAATTTTATCGTAAAAAAAACTTTTTTGAATGAAAGATCTATTTTGATATAAATACACAAAAAATTACAAATAAAAAATGAATTCTGACACACAATCAAGTGCCACGGTCATACCGGAACGTCAATTAAGATCGAAAACTAAATCAAATATTTCGTTTTAAACTTCAAGTTCTGCACCAAGGTCAACTCGTCGTAATTTTCATGACTGTTCAAAATCAACAACAGCAAGTCCTATATTGAGTCGAAGAATGTTAAAATCAACTTCAAAAAGAATCTATTCTATTCAAACTTCATCAAAATCTTTGAGAATGAACGAATCGATGATATCATATCGAGATAATGGTAATGATCAACCAGATGAATCGAGTACTCCAATGGATTATGATCTTACACAATAACTAATAATATCAAATTTAGCTACCGATGAGGTTATAACAGATACAGTTATCGACAATGGTGCATTAACAGAAGATGAAAATGATCATTTAAATTATAGTAGTGAAATAGTTAATGAATTACATCAAACAAAACGAACAACAATCGCAACAAAAAAAGACGTTCTGAAATATTTCACCAGACAACCAGATGGAGATTTTAAATGCAATTTGTCTGCTGATACTAATAAAGTAAGTTTTTCCTATTATTGTTGAGTGTTCGTCTTTTTTTTGAAAGTTTCAAGTTGTCAAAATTATGTTTATTATTAAATGCAACTTTTTAAAGTAGCAGACAAGCCATCGTGTAGACGAAAGTGAGAGCAGAAAGAGAAGTCTGTTAAAAAAAACTGACAATCGACATTGTAGGAAAAGTTAAGCATTGACAAGAAAAGGACTGTATCATGAAAAAAAATTTTTATATAGAATAATGAATCAACTATGAGCTTCTAATACAGCTAAAGATTAAAATGAAAGAGGTTACTTATTATTTTTTAGTTTTATTTTTATGTCTGTATCTTAAATGATTTAATATTTCATTCTCTATGTATATCAGACATCATCGTCGGACACTATGTTGTCGTTGTTTATTGACCTATAGATATAAAAAAGAGATATATTATCATCTTGATAGGATTGTTGTTTAATATCAGTGAGATCCGTTTGGAAGAAAAGACCATCATATGATATATTCATTGTTATTCTAAAACACTAACAAAATTAATTTATGTGTTGTACATATAAATACAATGCGGTGTGTGGATATAATTATTCAAAATTAAAAATTAGATGAATTTCAACAAAGTACTCATATGTACAACACATAAATTAATTTTTTTTAGTAATTTAGAACAACAATGAACATATCATACGATGATCTCTTCTTCCAAATGGATCTCATTGATATTAAACAACGACAACATAGTGTTTGACGATGATATCTGATATACATAGAGAATGAAATATTAAATTATTTAAGATAAAGAAATAAAAATAAAACTGTTTCATTTTAATCTTTAGCTGTATTAGACACTCATTGAAAAAGAACAATATTGACTTACGCATTTATATTTTTTTCTAATAAAAATATTATTTAGACTAGCTAGATACGTTTGAGGAAATCTCATACTATTTAAGCTGATCATAAACTCAACAAATTGAATTAGATAATATATATTCTGATATATTATATCATATTAATCACATCAAAGATCAAAGGAATCTTATAGCGAGATCCGTTTGTAACATCTGGTATATACGAAAAATCTGAAGCTAATCCGTCATCATGCGCAACCAAAGAGAAAGACAATTGATGTTCAATTTAATAAAAAATCGAAGTTTCAGTAAAAACTGTATTGAAACTTGGTCATGATTCACTGCAAATACATTGCTATTGTTACAAAAGAAAATATGGACCAAATTTTTCCGCAAGAATTGTTATAATTTTCGATAGTTTTTTCTCTTCGTATGATAATATGAACTCCTAAAGATTCGCATCAACAGAAGTCTCTAGAAATATTTTGTGACAAAAGAACATCATCAGATAATTTATAATATATTCTGTACAAAGATTTTTTTAAATATTTAAATGACAAGTGTTATATTTCATTAGTCTTTATGTTTAGATATTTTGCAAAACGAATGAAAATTCTGACACTAATTTACGAAGCCATTTAGGAAAAACACTTGCAATGATTAATTTTTTTATATCCTTCTCAAAGAAGACAACAGCCACCAAAATCATTGAAAAAACTGTCTGCTGAAGAAAAAAAAATACTTAATACTGCTGTAATTGAAGCTATTGTAAAAGATGCACTTCCATTTAATCATTTCAGCAAACCTGGCTATCGAGGACCACATCGAAAGACCGTTCGAAAGCATCTTGTATGTTGATATCAACAGCAACAACACTCGATAAAACAAGAATTATCTTCCATATCACATATTAGTCCTACAGCTGATGTTTGAAAAAGTCCTGCCCATCAATACTTCATCTGTATAACTTGTCGTTTTTTGTCTTCATCATTGGAGAATCGTTTAATTGTTTTATTATTTAGACGATTTCCTGATAAATACTCCGGTCAAAAATTTCGATTGTTTACTAATAAATCATTCATAAATTTTCTCTGTCTTGAAACAGAGTTTGAATATAAATAGATAGCTACGCATTCCTCAGGGTGTGGGTGTGAAGTGAGGATCGATGTCGTCCTGCTTGGTCATTTTACTTACTCACCCTCACCCTTTTTCTTAAAGAATGATATTCGTTATAGTTATCAAAATCTATTTATTTTACTAAGATTTGAATATTGGTAAGTGAATTTTCATAAGAATTTTTCTAATACAATGCTCAGCTATTTGTAGAAATACATCGATTGATTCAAATAGTGTTTGTCACAATTTGCTTTTAAAATAATGCGGTTATTTAATTTTTTCATCAAATTATAAAACTTGGTAGCGTTTTTTTCTTTCATATATTTTCTCTTCGGATAGGTAAATGAAAAAGCAATACATCGCCTCCATTGAATGAAATATTGATCATTCATTGAGTGATGTTTGCTTATCAGACGTCATCTTTTGCTATGACATTTAAATCAAATTCAATTATTTGAAAAGAAGATAATTGATCAATAAACTGTATTCTAAAGATTTTTAAAATACGTTTTTTGTCATAATTTAAAGAACAGAAAAGAAAAAAACCTTGAAAACTAATATGTCTTGAGACATTGCTCTCCGTTATTTCATTTATTTCATGTTTCAAATATCAAAATATTAGATTTTTTCGATACATTAAAATAAACTTGAGCAGTCTCCGCAATGTATGCAAATACAAATTTTGGCATGAAGTATATAATCATATATATCTAACAGATTTTATTTATTTAAATGCTAATCAATATGTGTGGCGTGAAGTGAAAGGAAATACTCAATAATACATTTTGCCCTTTGAT